CGGGGCGGTAAGGGACAAGTGCATGAAAAAAAAAGGAAAAGGAGAAATAATGGTACAAAGGGAAAACCAAAGATGGGGGGTGGGATAAGATATGGTTTTAAGTGTGTAAAGAAGAGTATGTTTATGTTAGGTTAGGTTAAGTTATTGTTATATGTTAGGTTAAGTTATTATTATGGTTGTAGCATAGGCTGTTATATCGTTATTATTGTATTGTTGTGATAGTAGTTATATATTTTATATAAAATAGGCAATATGTATGGAGGATAAGGAGAAACAGAACCCTTGTAATCTAATAGGAAAGCAATAAAGATTTATCTATCTATAAGGAAATCAGGAGCTTCTATTTATAGGACGCAGAAGATTCACCGAGTCACTTGCGAGAACTTCGAACCTTCAAGGATCTATCTGACAGAGAGTGCGCAAATATGGGATCGCCGTAGTTTATTAACAAATAACAAGTATATTCTAGTATGGCAAAGAAATTATTTAAGAAAAATAAAAGAATACCGAGAAGCAAATCGCCATATTTATTATTTAGATGAAATTTGGATCATTTCAGGTCACGCCAAAAATAAAATATGAAAAAACACAAATATGACATCTTCCCGAAATGTTCTTTTAAGCGGTCTTTCAACTGACTTAAAAAATCCTAGCGATAAAGGAGAAAATTATCAGGAAAAAGTTATCACCCATATTGGAAACGAAAATGGATTCGTGAACGGAGCTCTATGGACTCTCGAGTCCAAAAAAAACTAACAATTATCATGTGGAGATGAATGCCGCAAATTGTTTAAAGATATTGTAGAGAAAATCGAACCAAATTCTATAGTCGTCATGGATAACGCTACATATCATTGCCAAAATATATATAAAATTTCAAATTCAAGTTGGAAAAAGATTGGTATTCAACGGTGGTTACAGGGAAAACAAATTTCCTTTAAAGAAAATATGATGAGAGTAGAACTTTTACAAATTATAAAAGAACAAAGTATAACAAACACCTTTGCAATTGATAAAATAGCAGAAGAGAAAAATGTAAAAGTATTTCGACTCCCTCTCTACCACTGCGAATTAAATTCGTTAGAGATGATCTGAGCAAAAATTATATTGCAAAGAATAACACAATTTCACATTTGCAAATATAAAAAATTTATCGCACCAATTTTTTGAACACGTTACAATTGAAAATTGGAAACACTGCGTTGAATACAGCTATTCAAGTTATTGAACAAAAGTTTTGGCAATTAGACTACAACATTGATTCGTTAACTGAATCTTTTATAATTAATTTAAATTCTGTTACTTCAGATACATATCTGAATAAGGAAACAAATGAAAGTACAAGTTAAGGTATGAAAAACTATGTTTCTATACTTAATTTATTTATCTATTATATATATATTATACCTTAACTTGTACCTTCATTTGTCTCCTTATTTACATAGTTATATAATAATATTAATAATATTTAATTAATAATATGACATTGATATTGAGCATGAATAATTTTGGTTTAACACGTTCACGCCGGCGTGCATCACCGGTGGGTCACACGCGTTTGTCCCGTGGGGCGGCGTGCATCACCGGTGGGTCACACGCGTCTATCCTGTGGGGCGGCGCGTGCATCACGGTGGGTCACGCTTATATTTCATAAAATATTTAATACAAAATAAGTTTATGTTATTTTATTTCAACATTATGGACAAATATTCAATAGTAAAAACATAAAAATTCAATATTATAAACTAAACATAATTATTTAATTTTTAATTATGCAATTTTTTAAAGCATGGTAGGTAGAGTGCCGGCTGACCCTTACAACGATTACAGTAGGTTATTACCTTTTTAGCTTTATTTGCGGCATACTGCAAAAAATTATTCAAATTTATACAAAAAAAAAAAAGATAGCGGTGCAAAGAATGTTATAAACACATGACTAAAACAAGAGGTAGGCAATATGCCGCAAATAAAGCGAAGAAGGTAATAACTTACTGCAGTCGTTGCAAGGACCAGCCGGCACTCTGCCTACCATATTTTAAAAAATTACATAAAAAAATTAATTAATTATATTTAGTTTATAATATTGAATTTTTATGTTTTTACTATTGAATATTTGTTCATAATGTTGAAATAAAATAACATAAACCTATTTTGTATTCAATATTTTATGAAATATAAGCGTGACCGAACGTGATGCATACAGCCTCACGGGATAGACGCGTGTAACCCACCGGTGATGCACACGCCGCCCCACGGGACAGACAGTGATTTTGAGCGCCGCCCCACGGAGCAGACAGTAAATTCGGGCGCCGGCGTGAACGTGTTAAAAAATTAGTTTCTTCCCTACTGTGTAGGGATCCGGATATTACGTTTCGGCCCTATTTTGATCACGTGCCGTTCACGTGCAATTGTTTATATTTTCGGCCAATTCTCGTTGAACGGAGTTTTACTCTTCTCTCCTACACCCACCCCCTCCCCTCCCAAAAGCCGATTGAACAATAGCAACCAAACAGCAATGTATTTACAAAAATAGTAAATAGGTAATATTCCTCTGCTAATGCATATGTTCTCATAAATGTGCAATATAGATACAATTCATTGCAACAGTAACTAACAACAATTTTTCACGAATATTCTGCAAATTAAAACCGATCGTCATATGCATGTAAAGCAAACAGTTTTTCAGACTTCTTTTAATGAATATACATTATTTACAGGTAAGTGTAACAAAATCATTAAAAAAAAGTGAAAAGTTTTTATTTGTAATTGCAAAAAAAAAATAAATCATAACTAATCCTTACACTTTTTCATGTCACAAAATTATTCGCTCACTTCACAATAATTACTGTTTTAGTTATTATTTTAATAAAATTAATATTTAATAAGATACTCCTTCCGTTTTATAACTTCCGCAAGTCTTCTTGGCATTGATTTCATTATTTTTTGTAAATAATTAAAGTCAATTTTTTGCCATTCCTCTTGTAATCTGTTTTGTAGTTCAGTTTTAATTTTAATTGAATGTTTATATATTTTAGTATCTAATATGTTCCATATCGTCTTGTTAGAATTTAAATCCGACGACCGTGGTGAAGTTTTCATTATTTTGTATAACAATCATTCTTGCACTACCTTTGATTTGTGCTTTCGGTTGTAATCTTGATAAAAGTGGAAATTGTTTAAATTCCCTATCCTTTGAGCACTTTCCTTTAAATTTTCTTTTAAAATGTTTAAATACACAATTTTGTCCATTGTATCCGTAATAATTTACAGATTACCCACACCATGATAACTAATTCAGCCCCAAACTATTATAGGACGGCCTCCATGCTTAACAATACTACGCAAGTTTTTCGGATGCAAATCCGTGTTTGATTTTCACCAAACTTTTTGCAAACCGTCGAAGCCTCAAATATTAAATTTGCTTTCATCGCAAAAGATGACATTATGTCGAAATTCAATAGGCTTTGAAATATAGTTTTTCGTAAATTCTACTCTTTTTTCTGTTAATTTCACTTATGCAAGGTTTTTTCTTGCTTCGGGGCCGTTGTACCTATTCTTTCGTAGTGTTCTTCTAATTGTTTTATGAGAAACTTTTGTCTAGAAAAATCTTGAAGGAGTGAATTGATTCAGGGAGCACTCAGTTTCAGATCTTCTTTGACCTTTCTCACTACAAATTGCTCTTCTGCAGCTTCTAATAGTTTTTTCCTACCACGGCTCGTATTATTTCCTACTCGTCCTTCTTCTATGCATTGTTTTATTATGTATCGTACTGTAGGATAACTTCTGTAAACAATTTCTCCAATATCCATAATGAATTTTCTATTTTTCCAATGAAAAAATAATGATTTCTCTGACTGACTTCTAGATCTATGCAGTTGATTTTTAATTTCAGAAACAGTGTAAAATGCATTCGACTTCGAGAACCTTGTAATTCGATGATCTAAATTTTCAGTTGTTTCTCGCAGTCTGCCAGTTCATGATGCCCATTTAACAGTTCCATGTTCATCAAATCGTTTTATAATCTTAGTGACAATGCAAAGATTCGTACTAAACACTTTTGCTATGTCAATTCTTTTCTTGCCCTTCTTAAATATTTAAACTATTTTCAGCTTTTCAACGTCTGTTAAATATTGCGTTGTTGTCATATTTAGCACGAACTATAATATGAACTAGACTCAGCGATGTCAGAAAAGGAACTAATTGTTTCGGAATACGTTTCTTTTCATTGTGACCTCAATTTATTGTGAGTACTTTGTATGTGTCTTAACTCATGTCACGCAGATTTTGTTTTATTTCTTCGATTCAATTTAACTGTGGTCCTTGCAAAAGTATGTTCGAAAAAAAACTCATTGTTTACTGATGCATGGAATGCTACCTTATTATGCCATTTTTAGTTTCAACCAATGTATCATAGAAGATAGAGAATATAGAGAAATTACCAAACGATTACGTTATTTTTTAACTTTTGTCAATAAGTATATATATCCTATATTTCTTATTAATGTTAAAATACATTTTTTTATAAAATCGGAAATAGCTAAGTTGATTTAAGGCAAAGTCAATAAAGTAAACTTTTACCAGTATATCGATAAATTCATCACAATTAAATAAATAGTAAATGTTTTATTATATTAATTTAATTGTAATTATTTATTTTTCAAAAAAATGATCAAAATTTCAGCATGTCTATCAGTCTGTGCTATGTCTAAAGTCTGTTACCTAATGTAATTAATATTTTATATTTAAAAGCATGCATTTATAATAAAAATTATAAAAATAGTTATAACAATCTCATGTTATATATTTATAAATTTTTACATATTATATTA